TCTAAGTCTTCCGCTGTGCTATCTTATACTTTGTATTGAAAGGTCGGTTCTTGTTCTGGTCTGCACCTATACGGTATGCAACATCTGGCTATGCCTGTCTCCCTCAACGCTGAGCCGTCACCACTTCCAGTTCACGCGTTGCACAGCAGCGATGTACGCGGTACCAACTGCCAAAAGCCCTGAACCGATGTGCCCAACCTATCTATAGGTCTACACTAGCCTAGACTCGACCTAGACCGGACTGACTGACCGACCGGTACCGTATCTGTTTCGGACTCTCGGCCTCTACCGGACCCGGCTATAGGCTATAGGACCGTCTATCCGAATAGGCCACTTAGGGCCCGTCTGTCCTAGGGGTAGCCCGGGCCTGCTATTCGCAGTTAGGGTAGCTGTAGGGAATGCGGTTAGTTCCGGGCCTGTATTTTTCCGGAATTTGCAGGTATGTCCCTCACGAATTTCCCTCACAGTTAGGTCTCTCGGTTAGCCCTCAGCCAAACAAAATTACGAAACTGTCCTATCTATGGTACAGCCTCGACAGAGAGAGGCTACAGGCGATCAGAAAACAGCAAGTCATTGCATGTGTGTGTGTGTGTGTGTGTGTGTGTGCGTGTGTGTTGGCATATTCGCTATACACTCAAAAGAAACATGAGTGTGTGTGTGTGTGTGTCTGCGCCCTTTTTTTTTCTTCTTTCTTTTTTACAATCAATCACTCAATCAATCAATAATCAGTCAATCAATCAATCAATCAATCAATCAATCAATCAATCAATTTTTTTTTTTTTTAAATTCAATCGCATCAACACCCCCCCCCAAAAAAAAAAAAAAATCCTAATTTTCTATTTTTCAATTTGGGGGGGGGTACTCCTGCACTCCAGCAACCCCCCCCAGGTCGTCAGATTTTAAAGTCCCCCCCCCCCAAAGTCCCCGAACCGACTTGTACGGCCCATACGACTGTCAGGTGGCTGTTAGTACGGAACTACCGCCGTACGTACGAACGGACCGTATCCGTACGACAGGCACACACAGGCTTTTGATGCTTCATCAACAAATCTGTGACTATAGGAACGGATTGTCTGATATCTGCACTGACCACTGGATTTCTCTACACTACTCTTAACTTGACAGTCTTGCATGCCCTTGTTGCCAAGCACTTACTTCTGACAGACTGACACGTATCCGATTTTCTCTGTCTGCAGAAATCATCACTCGGGGATGTATGTTAGTGTCAGTGCTCATACGTGTGTTTTGTTTTTTGGAGTGTTCATGTGTTTTTTTTTGTTTTTTTTTTAATATTTTTTTGAATTTTTTCCCCATACTTTTCCTGCCGCGCAGCCTGCGCTGTTGTTTTTGCGTGCATAGATGTTTCTTTTTTTCACCACTTTCGTTTTGTTGTTGCGCTTGAGGACTTTTCATTTTTGCACCACATTCCTCTTGCTTGCATGCGCATTGACTCACACACACACACACACACACACACACACACACAATCAGATTTAGGTCTATCTGTCCTTTTCCTAGTGCCTGTCTCCCCTCTGATTATTTTGTAAGTATTTTTGTGTGTGCCCAACTGAGCACCCTTAGGTAGTGCCAAACAGTCGGTGGTTCCTCGTTTGAGGTGCCAACTGCACTCTTAGGGGGGCCGCTCGGTTCGGGTTATCTGTGTTGCCTGTACGTGATGACAGATGCTCATCGGAGTGTCTCCCTGGCTCAGTGGGTGGTGGGAACCAACAGTCTGTGGGGTTCACCCGTGATGTGAGTAGGTGATGTGCTGCTTTGCTCCATGTTGGATGTGTGGACGACCCTGTCTGCGCTCCACCACTGCCTTGCTGCCCATTCCGCTTGCCTCGCAGGTCGTTCTTGGCATGCTGCTGTCTTCGTTGTGTGGTGTGGCCGGGTTGTGGTGTTGCCTTGCGCTTCGCTGCTTCGCTGCCTTGCCACCCGTCCGCTGGTCGTGCCTTCCGGGTCTTTTGCTTGCGCGCCCTGTAGTTTGGTTGCCGTGTTGGGGTTGCCCTGTGCTCCTCAGCATGGTCGCTCTGCTGCTTGTCCGCTTGCCCTCTCGTCCCTTGCAGTGTGGTTGTCTTGGTGGTGTTGCCTGGTGCTTCACTGCTTGGGTGCCGTGCTGCGAGTTCGGCGTGCCGTGTCGTTCCTTGCAGTCGTTTTTGGCGTTGTGCAGCCGTGTTGCCTCTACTGCGCTGCCTGGTGCTTCGCAGGGTTGCTGCCTGCTGCTATGTTCCGCTTGGGGACAGTCTGCCTTCAACAAGGGTCAAAGGGTTCATGACCCAAACCATCAATACGGGCATTCCGCAGATTGTCGAGGGTTCAGCCTCCTGATGAGTCGGTGCAATTCCGACGAAACAATCTTGTCATCATCAGTTTATTTTTTTCGGTCTTCCGATTTGCTTGACTTATATTTTTTTCGGTTTGTCTGCCTTCGTGTGCTTGTGTGCCTGTTTCGTGTTCTTGCATGTTGTCTGCCCCCCCGCCTCCCCC